ATTTAGCTTATGGTTTGGTAGGCTGGGAAGCTCAAGACTGGGCAGCCTCATGGGCGGCTTCCGGTGATGGTGTCAAAACACGAGCAGAGAAACAGAAAGGGAAGTAGGCACGTGCAAAAAAAAAAAAGAGGAAAATATGAGGCAACCTCGCTGTATAATCCAGTTCTCGTGAGAACAAACCATTCCCTAGAAAACTAATCCAGTCTTGGGAGGAAAATATTATTAATCCGCCTTAATAATCCAATCACTTCTTAAAGGCACAACCTCTCCAAACTGTTATATTGGCAATAAAATTTCAACACGATCTTTGGAGGAGATAAACCATATTCAAGCCATAGCAGCAGGTTTAAAAGGGAAAGGAGAGTAAGGTATACAAAAAAATATTCTGGGGAGAAGGCATAGAGTAAATCAAGGCACAAAGCAAAAGTGCTTGACTGGTTAGAGCTTAGTGGTGGCACCTGGCAGATGATGAGTCTGGAATGGTACCACAGGGCTGGACTGTAGATGCAGACTGGAGTATGTCATCTTTACCCTACAGGGAACGCAGCATGCTTTGCTTTTAGAAAGTTTCTGGTATTACCATGGTATTAATGAGATCAAAGAGGGATATACGTAAGGAAAGCAATAGGGGGCTGCTGCAAGAATCGATGTTGACATTAATGAGTGTTTGAACCCAAGGATAGAAGGAAGGAATGGCTGAAAAATACTTTGGAGGAACAGTTGAGTTAGAAGTGGAAAGAGAAAACAGAGGACTCAAATGCAATTTATGATTTACGCCTAAGTAAAGGAGTGGCAGGTGATGCCTAAAGCTTAGTATGAAGCATGTGTTAGGTTAATTTTGAGAACAATGGAGTGGAGGTAATAAGACTTTTTAGATGCAATGAAGTGCTCATGGGATAGAAAAAAAAAAAAAAGATATCCAATAAGCAGCAAAACATTTGGGTCTGGAACACAAGTTTGAAGATCAATGTGTTTGGGAGTTACCGGTAATATAGGTAATATTTGATGCTCTAAATACAGAGAATAAACAACAGGAGTTTGCTTCTTGAAGAGTTTCTGCAATGTACTGAAACTTTTTATAAAGGGATTCTTTAGAGCAGGGGCATTATCTTCCTCAACTAATATGTGCTGACTTAAATGACAGACCATAGTACAACATAAAATCAATAAAAAGCAAGGCATAAAGAACAAATACAAGACTCCGTTGATTCTGAAGATTTCATTTACAAAAGCAAAGTTGCAGCATTATATTAACCTGTAAGCAAAAGCAGCATCTACAGAAATGAAAAAGAAAGTAAAATGGAAAAGTATAAAATAAGTGAGGGGAAGAGAGAAGAGAATGGACAAAAAGGACACAGAAAAAAGGGGTGATTCATTTTTTAAAACACCACTTTGCCGTCTCTTAGTGAGTCAGATGTAGAAAACTGCTGAATTAACATTTAGATTAAATGAATAAACAAAAACAAGGGTGAAGAGAGCAAACGAGATCACATGAGCAAAAACTATTCAAAAACAATAAAGGGGGAGTGATGAAGAAGTAAACAAAAAGGAGCCGGGAATAATAAAATGACATTGTAAAAGAAAAAGAAACAAGAAAAAAAGAAATTGTAAAACAAACACCTTTGAAATCAGTTTCCTAATAACTTGGCAGGGCAGAGTGAAATGTTTAAGACACACACGTCTCCCTCACGTCCAGGAGTGCACAGGGCAGTGACAGGTGTTCGGCAGCCCAAGGTCGGAACCCAAGTATCTCACCTTTCTAGCTATGTGACTTTGGGCAAGCACAGAAAGGATGACAAAGATTGTACTAATAATGCATGTAAATGTATTAAGCACCTAATACCTGGTGCTTAAAAATGGAAGTTATGAGAGAAAAAAATTTAGTCCAACCAATTTCCAATGATTTTTCTAATCTGAAACAAGGATTGTTACAGCACATGAAATAAACTTTATTAGAACTAAGGGACAACATTGCTTAAGATAGTTTTATATGGTTGGGTCAACTCTGCCTGATAGTAAGGAATGTGAGACTCAGCTTTCTGGTTCTATCTCAAACTGTGTCACACATGGTGCATATTTTCCTCTGGGAACCTTTACAGTACAAACTATTTGGTCCAATTACTTACCATGCACTTACAGAAGTACTAACCTTTACACAACCACTGCTATTTGCCGTCCTGCTCAGCGGTCAGAAGGAACACCACCACCACCACTAGGTGGGGATCAGCCAGTTCTGCCAAGCACTCGAGCCCAAAGCCTTGATTGTGTGGCCACCAGTATCTCAGCCCTTAGCTGTCTAAACTCGCGATAAGGTAGGAGTTTAAACTATGAGATATTTTATTATACGTGTTCTTTTTAAAAAATCCTGTGTGTGCAGAAATAATCATCTCTTTTCCTTCTTAACTTGCTTTTGGGAGAATTCTTACTAATAAAAGAAAACTTGAAGCTCCTTAAATGTGATTTTGAGTAATTGAAACAAAAAATCTTTTCTATAGAATCAGATCCCTGACTGAACTAAAGAAAACTGCTATTTGATATAAATTTTTTTGTACATATAATTTTTCAAGAATATGTCTCATCCACAAAGTTAGTTTAAACTGTACAATTCACTATAACTGCACAGTTTTCAAGGCTTCTGGTACTTACCATGTTTCCTCTCAAATAAGACACTTATATTTATTTTTTCTCAAGAAGATACACTAGGTCTTATTTTCAGGGGATGTCTTCCTCTTTGTGCTGAAATGCAGATATGCTGCATAGCCACACCCATCACTAGGTCTTATTATCGCGGTAGGGCTTATATTTAACAAATGCATAGAAATCCTGCTAGGGCTTATTTTTTGGGTAGGTCTTATTTTCGGGGAAACACGGTACCTTTGTATTCTACATCCTATGTGTCTGAAGTTTTTTTTCTTTTTTGAGATAGTCTTACTCTGGCACACTGGGTAGAGTGCCCTGGCATCATAGCTCACAGCAACCTCAAACTCTTGGGCTCAAGTGATTCTCTTTTCTCAGCCTCCCCAGTAGCTGGGACTACAGGTGACTGCCACAATGTCCGCCTATCTATTTTTTTCAGAAATGGGCTCTAGCTCTGGCTCAAGCTGGTCTCAAACTCCTGAGCTCAAGCAATCCACCCTCCTCAGCCTCCCAGAGTATGAGGATTACAGGTGTGAGCCACCATGCCTGGCCATGTCTGGAATTCTTAACTGAGAAATCATAGGCCACTAGGTCACAGACACTTTGTTGTCCTTAAAATACATAGCCTAAAATTGTATGTGATCCTCAGTGTGTGTGCACTACACATAGACTTTTTTTTTTTTTTTTAGAGAGATTCACACTCTGTGCCCTTGGTAGAGTGCTGTGGAGTCACAGATCACAGCAACTTCAACCTCTTGAGCTTAAGTGATTATCTTGCCTCAGCCTCCCAAGTAGCTGGGACTGACTACAGGCACCTGCCACAATGCCTGGCTATTTTTTTGGTTGCAGTTGTCGTTGTTTAGCAGGCCCAGGCCAGGCTGGAACTTGCCAGCCTGGGTGTATTTGGCAGCCACCCTATTTGCTGAGCTGCAGGTGCCAAGGCAACACATGGACATTTTTGTGGGGCAAAGGCATACATCTTTCATCAGACTTAAATATTTCAGTACAATATATCATATATTTCTAAATTTTGACATTTGTGGGTTGTCTTAATTAGAACAAGCCTTGAAGTTCAGTGTCACAATAATCAGAGATGCTACTTGTGAGAGTAGTTCTACATCTTCACTTCCAGGGCTTCTCACAAATCTCAACCCATTGCACTCTGGCTTCTGTCCTCAGTTCTCTTGAAGTACTTCTGCCCATCTGATTAGTTCCTGGTTGTTAAAGCCAAAATATGTGTTTTGGTACTTACTTTATGTGACCTCTTGGTGGTATAGCAGAGTTGTTAAAATCACAGACTCCAGAGCCAAACTGCCCAGGTTCAAATCTTAGCTCTATCACTTTGTAGCTCTGTGACTTTGGGCAAAGGACTTGATCCTTTTGTGACTCAGAGTAAAATTTATTATATAATGGTGTAAATACTACTTCAAAAAGTATGATCTATGTTGAGAATAAGGTCCTAACAAAGTGTTACGCTGTAGTCACATCTGATACCTCTGACCATTCCTTTCTTGAAAATCACTTGCGTCCTGCCTGTTTGATTCTGCATTTGATAGTTTCATCTACTTCTTCCAGGCTTATTCCTTGCTAATAAATCATTTATACTTTAGACAAAATGACCATTGGAAACTATAAATCTGATGTCATCCTTCCCCACAGCTATTAGTATAAACTCCCAGGGTAGACATGTCCCTTTCTCATGTCCCCTCTATCACCCACACTTACTATTCCTATGAGGTTAAGCGAACCCAAGCTGTAACGTTCAGAAATGTGCCTCGCTCTTTCCTCATGCTTTTGCTCATGCTGCTCACTCTGCCTTGAATGCCCCATTCTCTCCTTCTTCTCCAGAAAGTCTCCTACCATACTCCTTCCCCAAATAAAGTGTCCCTCCTTAATGTGCCCCCAATAGTTCCATGTCATATTTATCACATTATATGTTAGATGTCCACTTAGTTGCTGATACGTTTCTATGTATCTAGTCCAAGAGTCCTCAAACTATGGCCTGCAGGCCACATGTGGCCCACTGCATTTATCCAGCCTGCTGGGTGTTTTTGCCGCAGCTGACTCATCCCAGGCCCGCAGTCTGGTCTGAGGGACAGTGAACTGGCACTGTTTAAAAAGTTTGAGGACGCCTGAAAATCTTCCCCACCACATCCTATCAAGAACAGAAGTAGGAGCCATATTACGACAGCCTATTCTCTCTTTTTCTGATGGTCCATTCTTAAATCACTGTCTTGGTCCTTTGTTCATCATTTACCCTGCCCCTTCTTGTTTAATTAGACCACTGAGATTAGGCAGAAATGTGCCTAAAAAGGATATGTGTACATACATGAACTAGAGAACAAAAACTTCACATTGCAGGGAACATTCTAGAAGTATTTATTTCAGTGCTGACCATTAGATTGCAGCATGCAACTCTAAACAATGAGCTGCCACTCTCCAGTCCTACAGAAGCACCAAATGCTATGGTACCACTACTTAGGTTCCAGCCTTTCAAAGGCTATTACCAACATCATTACTTAGAGGCCGTTTAAGGACTTAAAAGCACTTATTCTCTATAAAAAGCAATTCCATATACTTCATGCACAAAACTCCAACTGGCAGATTTCGGTCCATAATAGAAAGGAAAAAACAATTCTAGTTCTGTAAATTATCAGGAATAAAATATGCATTTCCCCTTGCTTTGTTATAAGAAAGTAAGACTTTTTCTCTACCAGCAATAAGGACAGTGGCTTTGATGAACCCTCTGGATTATAAAATTGCTTACTGGTTAAATTTCTTTCAAAGGTTTTAAGAAGTTGGCTCATTTTTCTATATAATTTAAAGAAATATTTGCAGTATATGCAGGAGTTAATAGGTTTATATTATGATAATATTTAAAAGGCCTATTCTCCCCATATAAAAAATTCTACCCCAGAAGGTAAAAGGAAATCCCCATCATCCGTGAGCAAAAAAGGAAAAAATCATAGGTACTTTAATTATTTAGCTGTCTCTAGGTCATTCTCAGAGAATTTACATAAACTGAAACAGGAATGAGGTGCTCTCAGACTTTCTCAGGTGAGTGTATTTAGTAGTTTGAGTAGCTGATCTGCAAAAACTTTAACTACATTGCTGAACATTTTCCATTTGGAAATTTGAGAATATCCTGAGAAGATGTTTATGGAACATAAAACTATTGGGCCCAGGGAAATTTTAAAATGTTAGCAAATTGTGGCAGGAGGAAAACAAAAGAGTGAGAAAAACTGTGGAAGAGAAAGTGAGGAAGGGGCAGGACAAAACCATAGTTATGAGCTGGGCCTTCCTTTCCCTTAAGCCAGAGGCCTCACTATCCATGTGCTATACTCACTCTTTCTTATATTAACATAAACCAGATGCCGCAAAATAAAATCAATAATGTCCCAAACTAATTTAAGTCTTATAGAAGGAGTAAATGAGAGAAAACGTTTTAGTCTCTTACTTGAGGAGTGCTATAATATAATTTCAAGGCATCTCAATATAATTCATTTAACCCTAAAGCAATTGTGCAATAAGCAAAATACAGAAGGAAAACAACAAAGGTTAACTTCCTACAGGGGCCAACAGACAAGATCTGTGCAGCACAGCGATTAACCTTCACATACTGGAGTCTTGTTTGAAAGGCCATCAAAAACTTAGATTACTGAAAATCACAACTGTCACCAACAAAAGGAATGTTGATCAGAGTCAAAAATCTTCCCAAAGGGCTGCCTTCTTTCAAGGAATTTAAGAATGTTGCTAGCACAGGCTGGCTAAGCTAAACCTCACTGATGGCTCCATTAGAGAATGAGAATGCCCCAGTCAGTGATATTTTAAAAATGTACTGGGAAAGAAAAAACAAAATAAAACTATCTACTGTTCCCTAACATATATGGCTTAGCACCCAGAGAAAGCCTCTGCCCCCCAAAGAGACTTTCTGCATAAGGTTAAGCTTCATTAAATGAGGTGTAACCTTTCATTTTCAGGACTTGTTCTTGCAAGGTCTTTAGAGGCAGAAGTTCCACTTGGATTCTAATACACATCCCTGTAAGCGCAGCTTCCTGAAAACATACACCTGTCAGGTTCTAGTTTCTCCTTTACCAGTGACTACATTCACTACTTCACAGCCACCAGAATCGCACATACACTATTAACATGATGAAAAATACAGCTACGGCTGCAAGTTTGGCGTAAGTGGAACGCATGTTCAAGTATTTCGCGTCCTGGCGGTATTTCTTGGAGAGACTGGATAAATTGTTAGCCTTTGAATCCAATGCTGTCAAAAAAGGAAAAATGAAAACATAAATTAGTCTCTGGAAGTATTTTATGAAAAGTATTAAGGCACAAAAGTAGCTAAAATGAATGGCACTATAGAAACCAACCACGAAAGTTAAATCATTTTTATTTTAAGGGTAAGGTTGCATATGCTGATCAACTCGTGATCCCCAAACACTGTAAAATCTACAACACATTTAAAAATCATCAGAATAAATTCTTGTGGCTGCATAGTGAGGTGGTTAGTAGAGGCTCTGACCTCAGACTCTTTGGTTCAAATATCAGAGGCAGGCTCTGCACGGTGGCTCACGCCTGCAATCCTAGCACTCTGGGAGGCCGAGGAGGGTGAATTGCCTGAGCTCACCAGTTCAAGACCAGCCTGAGCCAGGGCCAGAACAAGACCTTGTCTCTAAAAATAACCAGGTATTGTTTAGGGAGCCTGTAGCCCCAGCTACTTGTGAGGCTGAGGCAAGAGAATTGCTTGAGCTCAAGAATTTGAGCTTGCTGTGAGCTGTGACACCATGGCATTCTACCCAGGGTGACAAAGTAAGACCCTGTCTCACAACAAAAAAATATATCAGAGGCACCAGCCATGCTACGTTGGTTAAGTCACATTAATTCTCTAAAACTCAGTCTCTTCATCTAGAAAATAGGAATAGTAACTATATCATAAGATTATAGGTACACTGGTGGCACTCGTAGCTGAGTGGGTAGGGTGCCAGCCACATACACTGAAGCTGGTACCTCAGCCTGGGCCAGCTAAAACAACAATGACAATTGCAACAAAAAAAATAGCTGGGCAACAACAACAACAACAACAACAAAAATAGCCGTTGTAGCAGGCACCTGTAGTCCCTGCTTCTTGGGAGGCTGAGGCAAGACAATCACTTAAGCCCAAGAGCTTGAGGTTGCTGTGAGCTGTGACGCCACAACACTCTACCCAGGGTAACAGACTGAGACTCCACCTCAAAAAAAAAAAAAAAAAATTGCAGGTACATAAATTTGCTGTAAAATGAGCACACTGTCTACATATGGTAAGCACTTGGTAAATTCTAGCTTATATTTTTCTAATAGTTATTATCATCTTCATCATCTTTTAGTGGTCTGAGTCATATTCTTTTATATTTTGAAAAAATGATAATCCATATATAATAAGACTCAGTTACCTAGTAAACTCAATTATCTAGACACTGTCTTAAGCTACACTTCAAGGATAACTATTAAAATTTCTAAAATTCTCCATATAGCAATGACTGATACAAAGTTAAAGCTAACAAATTATATTTCAACAGACATATGAAAGCTGTATTTTAACTAAAGTACAATAACAGGTGGCTGGGCACAGTGGCAAACACCTGTAACTCCCAGTACTTTGGGTGGCGAAGGCAGTAGGATCACTTGAGACTAGGAGTTCAAGACCAGCCTATGTAACAAGAGACCTCATTTCTATAAAAAGAATAAAACAAACAAACCCCCAAAATAACAGGTACTGAAAACCCAGTAATATCTGGTAAATTAAGATTTTGGAAATTTTCTGAAGATTTCCCCCAACCAAGGATAATGTTGTATCTTCTTATAATTTTTAACTAAGCACTTAGAGAAATAGGCAGATGGACACAAGCTGGAGCACATTAAAATATAGAGCACATTTTAATAATAAAAACAAATTCTCTGCTTGATATAAATAAATTCTGATCAATTTTTTACTTCTTTAGTTGTTTAAAAACTATTATGCAATATGAATTTGTTTGTTCTTCTTTAGAGGATGCTTTTGGAATATTTGGAGTTGCTTAATAGAGGAATGGTTTTGACTGGGAAATGTGGGATTACTTAGTAACACAGGCATGACAGCCACATCTGCATTAGCAACAACTAGAAAAACATCTATTCATGAAAGAGAATAGTTAGGGGTGAGAAATAACCATGACAATGCTCAAGGAAATTTCAAGCCAGTCTTCTAAAATGTGTACACTCCACTGGACAGGGTTTTATAACTACTGTTTGCTATGATATCCCTAGTGCCCAGAATAAGGCCTGGCATAGAGTCAGCGTTCAATATTTACTGTAAGAATCTAAATCTGCTGAGAATAACAGAGTAGAAGAACAATTATTAGGTCACATGAAATTAATAGTTAAGAGAATCCTCTATCTCGGAACACTTTGAAATACATTATAGACAAAGCTATTGCTGAAGACATCATTTAGCAAATATTAATATTAGTGGTGCAGGACACAAAATGATCAAAATACACATCATCCATGCCTTTGTGGAACTGCAGATCATCTCATAGGGGTGATAACTTGGAATGAAAAACCAAAACCTGTGGCTTAAAAGAATAGGTGTATTCAGGCAGTGAAAAAGGACATAATTTGATTATACTGAAAGAACACACAGAAACTACTCTCAGGTCTTTGACGCAAAGCAGAATAGCTCTAAACCCAGAAATCAGAAAGAGAAGAAGATACGAAAGATGGATTCTTAGTTTCTTTCTCTTCAAGAAACTTAAAGAAGAAAATATTCTTTGAGGTAGGTCAATCCCTTTACTGTCCTTCAAATATGTTCTGTTCACATATGTTTTTTTTTCCACTTACAATACCATTCTTCACACCTTCCTTACTTCACATTTATCTTCTTCCTTCTATATTCTATTTTTTTCTTCTATTTTACACTTCTTTCCATATCTATTCTTACAAAAAACATAATTTCCTTCTATATTCTTATATAAGATATAACTTTTAATATGGTTCTTGTCTATATATTAACTTAAAACTATCATACTCTGAAAATTGACAAGAACCCAGAAGGCACAGATTTGCCAGGTGCTAGCATGGTAATTTTTAGTAAGCTATGTAACTTTTTTGAGTCTCTGCTTCTTTATCTATAAAACTGTTTTTAATACCACGTACTTCACATGGTATTACCATAAAGATTAAATAATACATATCCCCCTAGAATATTGCCTAAACCTGATTGAGTGCTCACTAGGTTTTTGTTCCCTTACACCATCAATTACTCTGTGAGAATGTTTCTTTTCTTTTAGGACACATTAAAATTTTAAAATTTGCTTTAATACTTCTTTGGGGAAAAAATATCAAACTTTTAGTGAATATTTTGTTTGCGAAACATTTTTATAGTAGCAGTAGGCTATTATTTTTATCTACCATGCCATTAATTCATAGGGAAGAGGTTCCAGTAGCTCAGGGAGGCACCTTGCCATTGAATGTGACAAAGTGTTGACTGACTTTTGAATTCATGGGAAATAGGTTCCAGCACCTTGTATCACTGTTACATGGGGTCTAATTCATTATCCTGTGTGTTATGCTGTACACCTATTATGCCATGAGCTCATGGGGAATAAATAGGTTCCAGCACCTGAAAACATGGGTCCACTGGTATTCCTCTGTGCTATGTTATATGCCTATTATGCCATGAATGCATAGGGAATGGGTTCCAGGAGCTCAGGCTCCTTTCTGTTGGTTCTCACAAAGTGGGCTTCTCTGGCTGGAGCAGGCTGGCGCTTCAGTTGAACCCAGGTCCCTTTCTCTTTGGCTTCCATTTTTTCCTGATCATTTTCCTTCACATGTTCCAGGAATCTATCTTGACTCTTAAAGAGTGCTTAATATGCTCAATATGAACATTAATCCTCTTGGCAGGAATCTTGCCCTTAACTTTTGTTTACAACAATGCCAACAGCATGCTGGGTAACATTTAGACTCTTCCAGTTTTGCCATGGTAACATTTGTGTGGCATGCTGTTTTGAACAGTACCCATTCCCTTGATGTCTACAATATCACCTTTCTTGTAGATTCACATATATGTGGCCAAAGGAACAACTCCATGTTTTTTGAAAGGCCTAGAGAAAATGTATTGGGTGCCTCTCCTCTTTCCCTTTGTGTTGGTCATTTTGGTGAATTACTGGAAGATGGTATTCCAGCTGAAAGTGAGAATGTTTCTTATCTTCCCAACCAGTCAAAGCTACTAAGGGTAAAAACATACTTTTTTTTTCCATTCAGCATATCAGCTTTGCGGCAAACAACAAAGCACTTGACAAGAATCCTTTGCACTACTGATAAACTACAAATATAAAAATTTCAGATGTAAGAAGAATTTTTGTGATGGTCTACTTTACCCCAGGTAGTAAGTAGAAGTCTATTTGATGAAAACTTACACAGACCCACTCATTCAAAATTTAATGCTTAAAAGTATGAAGCTGGGCATGGTGGCTCACACCTATAATCCTAGAACTTTGGGAGGCCAAGGTGGGAGGATTGCTTGAGCTCAGGACTTCAAGACCAGCCTAAGCAAGAGCAAGAACTCATCTCTACTAAAAACAGAAAAATTAGCTGGATGTCATGGCACACGCCTCTAGTCCTGGCTCTTTCAGAGGCTGATGCATGAGGTTCACTTGAGCCCAAGAATTTGAGGTTGCAGTGAAAGTTTGATGACACCACTACTACACTCTATCCCAGATGACAGAGGAAGACTCTGTCTCAAAAAAAAAAAAAAGCTGGGATAATTGCTGACCATTAACATAAAGGTTAATGTTTGCTACTCATAATGAAGAAAAACTCATTTACTAACAAACATGTAACAAGGCTGAATTCAAGAAATACTAAGAAACCCATTTGTGACCATTAATGTGAGGGATATGAAAGTATTAAAACAGATACAAAACAAAAAAATACTATATTTAAAAAGCTTGGGCCATGCAGTGCCTCACACCTATAATCCTAGCACTATGGGAGGTAGAGTCAGAAAGATCAGTTGAAGTAAAGCCAGGAGTTAGAGACCAGCCTGAACAATCTAAGCAAGGTAGTGAAATCCTGCCTCTATCAAAAAAAAAAAAAAGAAAATTTAGCCAGGTGCAGTGATGTGAGCCTATATTCTCAGCTCCTCAAGAGGCTGAGCCAGGAGGATCACTTGAACTCAAGTTTGCATTTGTAGTGAACTATGATGGCACCACTGTACTGTAGCTCAGACAACAGAGGAAGACCTTGGATTAAAAAAAAGAGCTTACACATTCACATTAAATATTTAGGTAACATTTAAACATCTGGCAAAAAGATGAATATATGTAATTTAATTTTATTTGATTACCTATAATGTTTAGATTATAGGTAAAAACATCTAATTTTATATACATATTTACCTAATTTACCTTAAGCATACTTAAATATCTATATAAAATATGTATTTATATGAAATACATATTCAATATTCATTATATAATATAAATGTATCTAACACATATTTTATATATTAGGTAAACACATAACTATATTTAATAAATATGTATATTTGAGGTAAATTAGTGAAATCAATACAAACACACATAGATATAGAACCTCCACAGTTGATCACCTCCCTAGGTTGACCACCTCAAGTTCACCTAATTTTCATAGACTGGACATAGATTATTACAGTTGACCTAGTTCCTTATGTTGACCACCTCTGTATGTTGAGCAGTTTGGTAGAGTGTCTTGGGTAGTCCACTTTATAGGTTCTACTATACATGTAAAACATATAATGTAAGCTCTTTTTAAGAGTTTAAGGTACAGAAGAGATTAATGGGATATGGGCTATGTAATGAGGAACAAGGAAAACTTCTTTGAAGACGCAGTTCCTGTCTAGATGTTGAAGGAGAGGTCCAGTGTCAGGTGAGAGTGGGCCATTAAGGATGGTGAGGAAACTGGCCTGGCTGAGGGACAGTGCTTGTGAAGGACAGTAACAGATGTTTGCCATTCCTCATCTTCCACATACAGAGCACAATACCTCACACACAGCAAGTACTCAGTAACAATGACTAAATGAATGAATGAGTAGAATGGGGATTATATTCTGTAGCCCCAGATTTAAGTTTTTCAGAAAGGAATGCCTTGATGAAAATGGCATTAAATAGTGATCTGGCAGCAGTAAAGGATCTCTTTTTTCTTTTTCTTTCCCTTAACTTGTCCAAGTGTTTCTGCATATAATTTACTTATTTTTAAAAACATCTTTGAAATGGTAACTGCTTATAATATGCATGAGCCCTTTACAGTGCTCCAACTCAACAAATACTAATCATGCTAGGCAAATAAATAAATAAATAAATAAAATAAAAAAATACCCTTTTGGAAGCTTTACAATGTAATCTACTTCTGAGAAAGGAATTCTTAACAGTCTTAGGTAGACTTGGATAGCATGAAAGATACTGCAAAATAAGCTGACCCTGCCTATGCAACACAAGCCTCTTGTTCATAAGACTCTTTTTGCTTTCAGATACCTGAGAGTGCTTCTCCCCGTTGTAACACTTCTTCAATGTTGGCCACCATGATCCTCTGCACGTCTTGCAATTCAGTGTTGATGGAGCCTAGGTTTCTCCGAGCACGACTATCAATGTAGAGCTTTTTGGTTTTCTGAATGAAGGTATCTAGAATGATGAAGAGAAGTGACCATTAACAACTTCTTTGATATCCAAGAAAGTGGTAATAGACTGAAAAGTTCTGGGTTTAGGGTGGCGCCTGTGGCTCAAAGGAGTAGGGCGCTGGCCCCATATACCGGAGGTGTGGTGGGTTCAAACCCAGCCCCGGCCAAAAACTGCAAAAAAAAAAAAAAAAAAGTTCTGGGTTTATGCCTAGATCTGCCAGTATTCTTGGTTAATCTAGTTCTTGGGTGAGTTTTACATTTTGGGTTTTGTAAAATGTAAAGACAGAACTAGATGACCATTCAGGAGAAACATCTTTGGACACTTTTGAATTAGAAATATTTGTTATCAGGGTGGCGCCTGTGGCTCAATGAGTAGGGTGTTGGCCCCATACACTGAGGGTGGCAGGTTCAAACCCGGCCCTGGCCAAACTGCAACAAAAAAATAGCCGAGCATGTGGCGGGTGCCTGTAGTCCTAGCTACTCCGGAGGCTGAGGTAAGAGAATCACCTAAGCCCAGGAGTTGGAGGTTGTTGTGAGCTGTGATGCCACAGCACTCTACCAAGGGCAATAAAGTGAGACTCTGTCTCTACAAAAAAAAGAAATACCTGTTATCAGAAGCCTTAGAGAAATTAAGACTCAGTATAGTCAGCCTTTCCTGAAAGCAGAAATTTTGAAATTATATTCTAAGGACCCTTAGGTCCTTAACTCTTTAATTATCTCTTCTCACTTACACATTCCCTAAAGGATGCTGACAACTCTAGGATCATTATAGCCTAAAATAGCAAAAGAGTTAATGATCATTAAAAAGATGAGAAACTGCCTTAATGCATTTTTATTAATATACATTCTCAATTATACCCCAGTCATAAACTTCAGATAAAGCAAACATGTAATAGGGAGTTACCCAAAATATCAATATAAAACTACAGTCTTAATGATCTTTACCTTGTATCTGTTTTTCTCAAAACTGTGACTCGTTACTAAAGACCTTTTTAACTTTTAGCAAAAATCTTAAATTACGTGTGCAGGACACCTTTCATTTGCCTCTTTAGGTCTCCTCTCCACCCTTCTGCACCTTGCTGTCTGCCTTGGGAAACTGACCTGTATAAAGTCCATGAATGGGCTCCTTCCCTATGACTTCCAGTTAGGCTCAGGTAATGAAGGAGCTTAGCAGTCGGAAGAAGGAGAACAGACAGTGATGTCGGGCTATGTATTCCCCGGGCTCCTTCCTCAGAAGTCCCTTTGAGCTGGCAGTAACCCTCTACCAAAAGTTACTTCTCAAGTTGGCCTTCTCCATCAATTTTCTCCTTTTCAGTTCCAGAAACTGTTCCTTCCCGTTACACTGTCAGGCATACAGGTAGTGATGACTACTGCTACTGATTCCAGGTTACTGTGCCTTGTTGTTCCCCTACAGACCATTCATACCATCCCTTAAGCTAATCTGAGTATACCATCTACTTCCTGTATGACCCTGATTAATTTGTCTTATTTTTTTCTTGGCTTACTGGACTGTTATTGTATTCAAAAGTAAAATTTGAAAAACTGGGCATTATATAAATTAGCATTTGGAGAGCTTGTAGTTATGAGACTAGACTTGAGTGCTTTGCCAAATTTTCTCTTTCTGAAAAGCAAGATGACACAATTACCTAGCAAATGTGAAACACTTCAGAAATTCTGAAGTAGTAAAACTACTTTCTTTTTAAAAATTTTAGTGATGCAGCCTGATCCTACTTGTTTTCACTTCAGGTACTTAATGTACTAAGCACGTTTCCTTTGATCAACTGGCATGAGATACTCACCAGCTCTGACCGTGACGAGTCTTTCTATAATTCTTATACAAACACAGACACCCATGCTCACTACTTCTAAATGTAGTAAATGTTATCCTCTAATACAGTGGTTCTCAACCTTCCTAATGCCACAATGTATTTTCATTGTTAAAAAGGGGTCACGACCCACAGGTTGAGAACCGCTGCTCTAATACTATCAACATCATGCATCTCCTTTTTTTTTTAAAATTAAAGTATGTTATTCTAAAAGAAACAAAGTGCCAGTCTTTCCGATTTCCAAATTCTGATCTCCACGTGATCAGAACTTTACTGTGAACTTTACTGTGTGTGTTTATGGGGTTGGGAAAGACAACTTAGCTATTTAATTTATGCCAATCAAGCACATGACCCTCATGGTGAACCAAACCAAACAACAAAACGGGGCAAAAGGCAACAGTTTTTATGGGGAAGATCAAAAGATTAAAGAAAATTACAAGAAGGAAGCCTCATTCATTCAAAAAGACAAAAAGAGGTGGAATGGATGAGGAGGCAGCAGTCAAAACTTTAGGAAGTGAACACAAGATCAAAATGTATCAATATTATATCAGTAAACATGATAACAAATATGTCAATATTATAGCAGTATAACAAATAACTTCTCCATATTGTTCCCTCCCTTGATGGAGAAGGGAGGGGCAAAAACTTACCAAACTCAATAAAGGAATAGGGTCTAGACACAGTGGGCACCTTTTTCCCATGCTGTTCATCAAATTCTGAGTGCAAATCTTCTAGGTAGGCAAAAGCCAACTTCTTGGGAAAGGCTGCTTCACACAAAACCAAATAACACACCCCCTGTTCAATAATGTAGCTAGAAAGACAAAAAGCAAAACAAAGCTGTAAAGTAACAGTGCCTCTAACAGGCTGAACCTAGTACCATACAAGCGTTTGAAGCTACCTAGCCTAAATCCTTTGAGGCTGGCTAAATCAGAAAGTAAATTTGAAACACAAATTCTTGCAACCAGAAAGCAAACATATTTCCATTATTAGTAGTATGTTCCAAAAGGAGTATTTAGACATAATTTTTTATTCACTCATTATATAATTATTCAATTAACACATCTTAATACCTAAGACTTTTTCTTGAAAAATTCAGCGTTGTGACTCTATTACCCTTTGATTCTGTATATTAAACTAGTTTACACATATTTAAACTCCTTACAGGCACAAGGAAAAACAGTGAAGCTAGAAATTTTTGTGGATACTTAAAAGTTGGAGGTTAGTGTCATAATATTAACTGGGTATAGAAAATGGTGACTTCAGCACTAATAATACTTCTTAATTTCCAGGCTAGGAGAATTCTATAATCAACTGGAAACTATCCAACAATAGACTGGATTTCCTCTTGTGATAGTGAGTTCCCTGGCACCCTAGAAAGGGCCATATGACTGTATGTCTGATATAGGCTGGAGAAAAGGTTAGGCTACTAAGTGGTTTTCAAACTTCGTTTTAGCCATAGTTCTCTTTATTCCAACAAAACTTATATTCAGAAGTTCTTTGTTTTATATAGGAGTCTGTAAATATTTTCTACCATTCTACAGGCTTCATTCTGTTGACATTTCCTTTGCTGTGGAAGTTTTAAGTTTAATATAGTTTCATTTGTCTAGTTTTTATTGTTGTTGCCATCTGTACTTTTGAGGTCTCAGACATAAAACTTTTGCCTAAACAAATGTCCTTAAGTGTGTCTCCCACGTTTTCTTCTAGTAGTTTTAGAGTTTGGGCTTTTAAGTCTTAAATTAAAGATTTAAATCTTTAATCCAATTTGAGTTGATTTGTGTATATGGTAAAAGACAGGGGTCTAGATTTATTGACAAGAGACTAATACCCAGAATATACAAGGAACTCAAACAATTCAATAGGAAACAAATAAATAATCCTCTTAAAAAGTGGGCAAAGGAGTTGAATAGACACTTCTCAAAAGAAGACATAAAAAAGACCAACAAATAGATTAAAAATAATGCTTAGCATCACTAAACATCAGAGAAATGCAAATCAAAACCACAATGAGGAATCATCTGACCCCAGTTAGAAGGGCCATTATCAAAAAGACAAACAGTAACACGTATCAGCAAAGATGTGGAGAAAAGAGAACTCATACTCTGTTTGCAGGAATGTAAATTATAGCCATTATGGAAAACATTATGGAGATTTCTCAAACACTAAAAATGGGACTACCATATCATGTAGTAATTGCACTACTGGATATTTATCCAAAGGAAAGGAAATCAATATGTCAAAAGGATATATGCACCCATGTTTACTACAACACCATTCACAATAGCTAATAATATGGAATCAACTTAAATGTCCATCAACAAATGAACAGATAAAGAAAATATGGTATATACACATAATGGAATACTATTCACCCACGAAAAAGAACGAACTCTTATCATTCCTTGCAACAAGGATGAGCCTGGGGAACATTATGTTAAGCAAAGTAGGTCAGACACAGAAAGACAAATGCCTCAGGTTCTCATATGTGGGAGATAAAAATATTTTTTTGAGCTTATGGAAGTATAAAGTAGAAATGTGGGTGATAGAAGCAGAGAAGGGTAGGAAGGAAGGGAACACAGGGGAGGTTGGCTAATGGACACAAAATTATAGCTAGTAGGAGAAACGAGTTCTAGGGTTCTGCGACACTGTCATCACTGTAGGGTGAATACAGCTAACGGTAATTTATCAAATTTTCTAAAAAGCTAGGAGAGAGGATTTTGAATATTCACAAAACAAAGAAATGATAAATGTTTGAGGCAGTAGACATGCTAATTACACTTATTTGATCATTACACATTGCATATGCATATTGGAACATCACTCCATATTCTATAAGTATGTACAATAATTACATGCCAACAACAAACGAACAAACAAACCAGAAAAAAATAAGTAGGAGTTTAAGGGTCCAAAGCATTATATATACTCCCATCCTTGCCCTTCCTGTTTGGTTCCTGAGTCATCCTAGGGCATCAGAGAGGATAATTTAAAGACTATTATATCAAGTCTCAGGCCCCTTAAAATAATGTTAGTAATACAGCTGTACTGTTGTTTGCTTGGGCATCTGAATTAACTGGTCTCCTTGCCCTCAGTCCACACCATCTTTTATACCACCAATTTTATTCCCCCCAAATTACCACAGTACCCTGCTTACAAAGTCTTGAGGTTCCCTAATCCCCAAAGAATAAAGTCATAGTCCTGTACAGTATTTACAGTTCTTCAAAATCAGCGTAAGACATGTTCTGTCATATATCCTAATAACCAAATGCTGTTCTCCAAGAACCTAAGTCCTTTACATCTTTATGGCCTTCGGCTTATGTCGTTTTTTCTAATTGTTATTGCTCTTTTATGTACCTGGGAAAATCCTGTTTATTTTCATATTCTCAATTCTACTATGATTTTTTTCTGCAAAACTTCTCTGGGTCTCGCCTGTGGCTCAAAGGAGTAAGGCCCTAGCCCCATATGCCAGAGGTGGCAGGTTCAAACCCAGCCCTGGCCAAAAACTGCAAAAAAACTAAAAAACAAAAGAACTTCTCTGTATTCTCCCTTCCCCTATGCTCTTTCTTCAAACTTATCCCTCACAAATGGGTATTTGTTGCTTTCTTCTCTCTGCTCCTGAAACATTTCATTCATATCAGATTAACAGCAGTTTTTTGTTCCCAAGTATTACAGTAACTAGCTCACTAAAAGATATAGATATTAAAAATAGGACTAGGGGCAGCACCTATGGCTCAAAGGAGTAGGATGCTGGCCCCATATACTGGAGGTGGCGGGTTTAAACCCAGCCCCAGCCAAAAACTGCAAAAAAAAAAAAAAAAAAGGACTCAACCCAAGGTCTGGCAAAGAATAAATCTTTTTCCATCTAACCCTTGGATGAAAATAAAGGATGTAAGATAATAAAGGTCCTAAAGGAACCAAGCAGAAGAAAATCTGTTCTCAAGTCCTTGAGAACTTTCCTAGGTCTTTTGTTCCCTAACCTTTGGTAGAAATAAAGAACTATATAGGCTTGGCACCCATAGCTCAGTGGTTAGGGCGCTGGCCACATACACCAAGGCAGGCAGGTTGGAACCCGGCCTGGGCCTGCTAAACAACAATGACAACTGCAACAAAAAAAGAAAAAATAGCCAGGCATTGTGGTGGCGACTGTTAGTCCCAGCTACTTGGGAGGCTGAAGTAAGAGAATCATTTAAGCCCAAGAGTTTGAGATTGCTGTGAGCTGTGACGTCACAGCACTCTACCCAGGGCAACATAGTGAGACTCTGTCTCAAAAAAAAAAAAAAAAAAAAAAAGAATCTCTGTCTCTCTCTATGTATATATTTTCTTTCTCTCTCTCTTTTTTTGAGACAGGAGTCTTAATCTGTTGCCCTGGCATCAGCTTAGCTCACAGCAACCTCAAACTTCTCCTGCCTTAGCCCTCCTCACCCCCAAGTAACTGGTACTACAGGTGCCTGTCATAGCACCTGGCTAATTTTTCTATTTTTAGTAGAGATGGGGTCTCACTCTTGCTCAGGCTGGTGTCCAACGCTAAGCTCAAGTGATCCTCCTGCCTCTGCCTCTCAGAGTGCTAGGATTACAGGAGTAAGCCACCATACCTGGCCAGAAACTATGTATTAAGCGATTATATATTTTTTGTTGTTAAAAAATTAGACTCATAGAAAAAGCTTCAGATACTATGCAAATTAATACTTTAAGAAATGTAATGTCCACTATTTTCTTAAAATATGGGTTTTGTTTTTGTTTTGATGGATTTGTTTTTGATAGGTGAAGATTTTTTTTTTTAAGTTAAACATAACAGGTTCCTTCCTGGCCTAAATTACCTTATTATCTGGGTACCTAAAAAAGTAGGATTAGTTTACTAATCTTTTTATTTTTCTTTGATTTCATACTCTCTTTTCTTTTTAATCCTTCCTGTTTTATCAGCTTCAAACTTGATATGTATTAAATATTTAACACCAATTATTTGTAGATAATTTAAAATCTAATAGTTTCCTTGACCCCTTTCTTAGCTATATGTGTTGTCTATAACCATTGACTGAGATGCTCTTGGACTATCTTTTATGATATTCTTTTTTCTAAATAATAACTATATTTCTTGACTTTTCCCTATGTGCCAGGCAAGATGCTAACTAATATACATGGTTTCTTTATAATCCTCTCAAAACTCCTGTGATTATTTTCCCTATTTTACAGAGGAAATTGAGACTTGGAAGTTATGAAAGTTGCTCAAAGTTACATTATTAGGAAATGTTTGAGCAAGGGTACTAAGCTACATGTATCTGGTTCCAAGATATTTCCAAAGCAAGATGTTATATATCATGGCATGATGAATACAGAATTCATTAGATAACAGGTTAAATTACTATAAGCTTGTTGAACAAACAAACAAAGATTTCACTTTTGTAGAATTAGAGCACAGGAAGTTGCTTCAATGAAGAGATTATATTTTTAAAATAATCTTTACTTTTACAAAATTGTTATTGTTCTTATCAGGGGTTATATTACTGTATTTCATACTTAAATGATCATAAAGAAATAAGGATTATACTCACTGAAAAGTCATAGCTCCTGCTTCCAAGGTACATCTGGTAGGGGACTGTTCATTCAACTTTCGAAAGAGTTGCTTAGCTTGACTCTGGTACTGCTGAAGGTCCCGGCCAGACTGAAAGAAGACACTTTCATTTAAGAATATTCCACCAAAAAAAGCTATTAATTAGTGAGAAGCACCATATTATGCGAACATAATGTGAATAAAGTCCTTCAATTATATATGGTTAATAAGATTTACTTAGCAAAACAAAGATGACCTACTTTTATTTTATTTTTTTTGTAGAGACAGTTTCACTTTATCACCCTTGGTAGAATGCCATGGCATCACACTGCTCACAGCAACCTCCAACTCCTGGGCTTAGGTGATTCTCTTGCCTCAGCCTTCTGAGTAGCTGGGACTACAGGCGCTCATCACAATGCCCGGCTTTTTTTGTTGTTGCAGTTTGGCTGGGGCTGGGTCTGAACCTGCTACCCTTGGTACATGGGGCCGACCATTTAGATGGCCTACTTTTAGAACAAAAAAAAAAAAAACCTAAACCCTAGTTCTTTAAGAAGATCACATTAGTTATTTGCTAAGTAGCACAAGTACACACCTCAACTACATTTAAGGCACCTTAACTTTTAATCCAGTATTCTTTCCACTGTTAGGAGTACCTTTGTCCCAACCCATTTCACAGGGGTCACCTAAGACCATCCTGCATATCAGATATTTACATTATGATTCATAACAGTAGCAAAATTACAGTTATGAAGTAGCAAAGAAAATAATTTTATAGTTGGGGGTTAACACAACAGGAGGAACTGTATTAAATGGTCACGGCATTAGGAAGGTTGAGGACCACTGGCTCAAGCCCAAGAGTCTGAGGTTTGCTGTGAGCTGTGATGTCACAGCATTCTACCGAGGGTGACATAGTGAGATTCTGTCTCAAAAAAAAAATTTTTTTTTCTGTATTAACATATGTATATATACATGTGTCTATCTACAGTTTTATATGTTAAACAGTACTTTATAGTAATTAACATTATAATGTATATTAGGATTAGCATATTAAACAGTACTGCTAATACATGGTCAGCCCATAAAGGAGCATGAATATGATCACATGCTTTAAGCCAATAAAAACTAGTGCACAAAATCCTACTCTTCTACATTTTGAATGGTACTTACCAATCTGTTTGTTTTACCAGTGCCATTATGTGGCATTCTGAAGAGATCTGAACTCACAAGAGTAATCAACAGGGATGCAAATAATGTTGGATATGCTACTAAAATGCTAAGAAAGAATATTAACAAGAATTTCAACCTTGGCTTCACACTACAATCACTTAGGATCTTAAAAAACTACTTATGCTCGGGGAGGCGTCTGTGGCTCAGAGGAGTAGGGTGCCAGCCCTATATGCCGGAGGTGGCAGGGTCAAATCCAGCCCTAGCCAAAAACTGCAGAAAAAAAAAAAACTACTTATGCTCAATCTCTACCTCTAAACCAATTAAACTAGCATCTTAGAGGTAGAGCTCTGACACTGGTATTTTAAAAATAGCCACAACCACAGATGTTACATGTAAGTTCTTTGCTAAAGGCAGGTGAACACTTTAAAATAACTAGCTGAAGAAAAGATGGCAAAAAACTGTCAGTCAGAAAAAGACTGGTATAAACCCCTTGACTTTATGAGAAATTGTAAAAACTACTGCAACCTGAGAAAAAAAGACTAAAACTATATCAACTACAAGAAACTATAGCCAAAAGCCTGATTTAATTTTAGGAATTTGCAAACAATATAGCAAAGATTACCAACATAAAACACTGGGGACATACATACATACAGATTATGGTATGCCAACCAACACTTTACAATGCTGGTTCGGTTAGCACTACCATCCCTGAGAATACAATGCTGGAACAATCTTTTTGGCTAAATGATAATCATTCTGGTATACATACATATATATATATATATACGTATATATATATGTTCATAAAATAGAATATCATACAGCCATTACAATGTTGTATAATATTTAATGACTTGGGAAAATATTCGTTAGACACTGCTAAGTGGAAAAAATTAGGTGGGACAGACTTACAATATTACTCATTATTTAGTTTTAATCATACACACACAAGTATATTTAAGACCATCTATCAAAACAGATATAATTTCAGTACAGATTATAGGTAACAATCATTACTAACATTTTGGTCATTTTGCTTGTACATATTTACTGAACTTTCTATAATATGCATGAATTAATTTTATAATGAGAAAAATCATTCATTCCTGTTAATTGCATTTGCACCCTCCTTTAGTGTGTGCAATCCTAGGCTATGAATTGTAAGAAAGGCAATATGAAATTTTCAAAAATGGGCAAACAAAATTATTAAGTCCTTACTTTCTGCTAAGCACTGTTCTAAACATTTTATATAATTTAATTCATTTATTTAATATTCATAACTACCCTACGAGGTGATTAGAATTATGCTAATTTTTTTTGTTTAAGTCCAACTTACCCAAGGACTGCAGGCTAAAAGGGGAGGGGCTAGCATTTTATCCCAGGCAATCTAGCTCTATCTAGACAGCCTCTGCTTATAAGTATTGTGCTATACAATCTCTATGAATGCAATTGCTTCAATGGTAGATCCACCTTTTAGGTAATGTTTTACTATTTTATACTAAATCTAATTCATAGAAAATGCTAAGAAGCTGTGCAACAGCTCTGATCTAGGTCTCACAAAACGACACAACCACTGCTTCACAAACTGACCTTTAGTTTGTTTTCAAGATCAAAGTCAAAGGGCCCACAATCAGCTAGTCCACCTAAAAATATGTAGAAGTCCTTATTTTGTTTTCTATTTTACCTAGAACAAATTAATAAACTTTGCATATGGTATAACGGTATATTCTAGTAATTGGATCAGAATAGCTAGACAAATTGTGAAATAAATTTGAGGTTATCTAATAGCATATTTAGGATTTGACTCTACATATTACACAAGGTACAAGGCAGTCGTCTGCCATATAACCAAATACTTTTTTTGTGTCACCTAGGACTACTAAACAACACGTATCAAGTATCATCTTTTACCTTTTTAAGAAGTTTAGCTAAGCTCTTACCATTTTTAAATCCCTATTGAACTCAGCTGGTCAAAGTCCAGCAGCACCAACAACCAACCATTTTCCTCTAAAAGCAGTTACAGCAAGTTGATTAATCAGCCCTTGATGATTGGCAGAGTAAGGCAGTTTAACTCTACAACAGATTATCTGCTTTCTTGAAGCTCCTTGTTGTTTACTTGGTTAGATTTAATACCTTCTTCCACTCTGTACTGCCCTCTACAGCACCAGAGGAAATGAAAGAGAACACAGTAATTCTGAGGCAAAATAGAAAGGCAGATACAGAAATTGCAAAAATCCTAAAAGAAGAAACAAATGGTAAAAGAATGTGGAAAGGAAAAAGACAGGATATCAGTTAGGAACTCTGAGGAGAAGAGCTCATCTATCTGCCCTAAGCCTAAATTTGTAGTTAAGCATAAAGGAAATACTGTGTATGAAATATTCCATCTATATTTGTTTGTTTGTGAATTTTACTTAGTAATAAGGTCTCTTGCACACAGACTAGCATCTAGTAAATACCTAAAATTTGATATCTAATATTATAATTGAAAGTATATTCAATTAATTGGCCTGGATAATCAAGGTACTTAAATATTAAACTATTTAGTCCAGGTATTTGTTTCTTAAAAAGTTATTTCTGGGCTCGGCGCCTGTGGCTCAAGTGGCTAAGGCGCCAGCTACATACACCTAAGGTAGCAGGTTTGAATCCAGCCCGGGCCCCACCAAACAACAATGATGGCTGCAACGAAAAAATAGCTAGGCATTGTGGCAGGCGCCTGTGGTCTCAGCTACTTGGGAGGTGGAGGCAGGAGACTCGCTTGAGCCCAGGAGTTGAGGTTGCTGTGAGCTGTGATGCCACAGCACTCTACCCAGGGGAATAGCTTGAGGCTCTGTCTCAAAAAAAAAGAAAAAAAAAGTTATTCCTGGATTCCTAAGAAGTAAATACCTTATTAAAAAGTCTTAAAACAAGGTAGTAGAGTATAGTAGTTAGGCACTAAGGCTCTAGTGTAGAGTCAGACAAATGCTTATTAAAACTCCAGACTCGGCAATGTCTGGAAATACTTTTCTTTGTCCCAACAAAGCGGGTGAGGGTCATGGTTTTCCTGGAATATCGGGGACAATGGCCTGGGATGTTCCTAGACATCCTAAAATGCACAAGACAGTCCTCCATAACAAAGAATTATCCTATCTCAAAATGTCAAAAGGGCCCAGGTGAAGAAATCCTGATGAAAAACTCCATTACGCTACTTTACTGGCTGTGACTTTAGGAAAATGACCTATTCTCTCTAAGCCTCAGAGCTATCTTATCTATAAATTGGGATAATAATAGTATCTATTCTAATTTGGCTGACGTAAGGATTGAATGAAATAATGCACGCCTGTAGCTCAAGGAGCTAGGGCGCCAGCCCCATATACTGGAGGTGGTGGGTTCAAACCCAGGCCTAGCCAAAACTGCAAAAAAAAAGAAAAGAAATAATGCACTTAACAGGCTGGGTATGGAGCAGGTGCTCTTATAAATGTTTTGTACACTATTATAACAGTAAAAATAAGTCTAAGATTTGTATTTTCACATAGTTTAGGAAAAACTTTATTATTCAAAGTCAAAATTCCTAAGGAAAACATTATCAAATCACAATCACAAAAATATCTTTGCACAAAATTTCTTTCCTTGTCAAGTAAACAAAGGAATCTATCTTGGCAGACCAATACCAAATCAATGCCAAATTTAGAATTAAAAACAAACAACAATACGTCAATTAATGTTTCAAAAGAGTATCAAGGAAGAGAGTAGGGGCCTACTAATAATTTAGTAGACTTTCAAATCCACTTTTTATTCTTTAACCACATTGAAATTCAATGCAAAACTCAGAAAACTAACAAGAGTCTACCCACCACTCACTGAGGGAAAACTATTTCTCAAATTACACATACTTCAAGGAAATTTTACCACACTATCTTTCTTGTTCCTACTCCTTCTGCAGAATAGTCCTAGAAAATTCTCAACAAATCAGAGAATTAAGAGTAAAATATTGTACAATTTAAGATTTAGTTATATTACATTTTTTACAGTTTATTTCATTGACTTTATTTTGTGGAATGAACAGATTCACCTAGCATGGTTGCAACTTTAAATCTGTATCGCTCCTCTCCTAAAAGTAAACCTATTTCCAAATCAAACCTAAAAAGGCATGTAAACAAAAAGAAGAGTTCCTTACTATGAGATACTATCAGCTTAGATGTCATTTCTTCTGGGAAGACTTCGATGATCTCCCCAAACCTACTTAGATACCTTTTACATATTCAACCACAGAACCCTCTTCCTCTGCCACAGCAGTTACTTTACATTTTAATTTTGTATCTGACTTTTCCACCAGACTGTGAGCTGCATGAAGGTAGAGAATGTGTTCTCTAACTTCCTGCATTAGCATCATGCCTGGAACGTTTGATGTGCTCAATAATTTTTTTTTTAGTTTGCATGAATATATGAATGAAAAGTTCAAGAGAAGAAATGTGCAAAAAATTTTTTTCTAGAACTCATCTTCTTTAAGCCTCAAGTTTTAAAAAACTACTTGGGTTCTATTGGAAAGTAAAATAAAAATTGGTCACTTTACATAAATTATAAATTTTTTTTCCTCAGTCTCATATCTTCAGGAACCTCCCAAACTTGGTCCAGAACTTGTCTCACACCAGAAATTTCTCTTGCGATTCTGACACAACTAGCACAAAGCTCCTGTTGTAAAAATCTATGGAGAATACAAAGATGATTAAGACCTGTCATTTGATAGCTAGCAAGTCTTGCAATTTATTGAAAGACAAAGAGAAAAAATAAAGTATGACGAATTACAAGATTTTGATAAGGTTTATTGGAGGAAGTAGGAATTAATCTTACTCTTGAAAGAAGATATCTTACTATACTGAACTTTAAAAAGTACTTATATGTGGCAATATGACCTCACCCACTTTCAAAAGATGTCAGCAAGCCGGGTCAAGGATCAGATACGACAGTAAAAAGAGTTGAAGAACTTAGGTGATTTTTCCCCTCTGGATCTGTCAGTAGCTTTTTTAGCAGCAGAAAATTATAAGTTTTAATTTTAACAAAGTCCCTGAAGACTCACAGAACACTGCGTGATCACAATAGCTGAAGCTATCCCTTCTCTGAAGCGTTTTTGTAAAGATAAACAGGTAACACAAAAATCTAACTGCGCCTTCAGGAAAGACTTCCACTCATACTAGTCTTAACACCACTAAAAGATCTCCTACGTACTAGGAAAAAATCCAGTGCTGAGAGCAAAGTGCGCCGGTAGGGACTTGGGGTCGCGGGAATCTAGAAGTAGCTCACCTGTTCGTCTTCCTGCATCGAGGCGGCCAGCGGGAGCCCGTCCGCCACCCGGGCAATCATTGTTAGCAACACCATCTTCACAGACTACTGGGACGCAGCACTGGCCCGCACAACCTTGGGTGTCGTCTTCACTTTTTCCGCCGCAACAACAGTTACACCTCCAGCTCAGTTCACTACAAGCCAACTCCTTGCGTCTGCGATTCCCGCTGAGGTGGCCGGAAACGGTGCAAGAGCTTCCCACTACCGGTCCGCAGAATTGGCTTCCCACCGAGAACTACAACGACTGGCACACTGGTTCCGCAATCTCTCTTGCCTCCTTGATCCACTTCCAAGGTCTAGCCCACTTTTCTGGATATTGAGCTTTGAGTAAGCCTTGCTTTTTGAGCGGCTGTAGCATTTAAACTGAAACATAATTTTCTACTTCCTGATACTTTGTTTTGAGAGCGAGCTGGGAAGAAGGGTGGGAGATGGAGGGTACATTGTTGAAGGGTATGGAGAAAAAAACTGAAAATCAGGTTATGTATTTTCATATTTAATTTTTTATTTTGTATATGCTATTATATACATAACATTTTCTATCTTTATACATATACTTAGACAGAGGTTTTGTCTGTTACTTTTGCTTGCTTATTTATGCTGTATCCCCAGATCCTTGAACAATTTCTGCTAAGAGGTCAATAAATATTTATTGCATGCATGTATAAATGAAAAAGTACTGGACCGCAATATCACCTAGATCAGTCAACCTATCAAAAGCCAAGATCTCTGCTACAGCTATGATAGGTACCAGGGTAGCCTTACTAGAACTTCCTGTGGTTGAGCAATCATTTCGTACTGGAGCAACTTCCAGACAATTACACCTAAGGAAGTGTACCCTAGATGGGGATATCAGCCTGTTACGGTTTTGTGAATATTAGGGTTTCATAAACTTAAAAAAAATGATAAAAATGTTGTTTTTATTTATTTATTATAACTTAATATCTATTCTTTACTAAGTGCTTACTGTGGTTCTTGTTTTTTTCTCAGCTCAATACACCTCTCAGTAAAATTTTTAAAATTAAAAATTAAAAAACTACAGTTGGTGGGCGGTGCCTGTGGCTCAAAGGAGTAGGGCGCCGGCCCCATATGCCGGATGTGGTGGGTTCAAACCCAGCTCCGGCCAAAAACTGCCAAAAAAAAAAAAAAATACAGTTGGTTCTTACCTTAATAGAAACACTGCTAAACATTTTATAGATATTAATTAATTTAAACAAACAACCCAGTAAGGTTATTTTTTATTAGGTCCCAACCTTGGATTTTGGGGAAAAAACTCAGCAATTTTTCAAACGTCACATACCTAGCAGTGATGGAAACGAAGATATGAACTCAGGTTCAACTCCAAATCCTAATGTGATTCTGTCTTAACTTTTACTCCTAGGTGAAAGAGCTCATGTTTTTGTTATCTTTCCTAATGCCCTTCAGCTTTTAGGAGAAAACTAGCATCATTTCATCAGAGCCTTTTGAGAAGAAAACTCAAAAAGACTTAGTGACTGACTGACTCCACATGAAAGATGAAGAGCTAGAATAAGTTCAAACCTGGCCCTGGCCAAAAACTGCAAAAAAAAAGGATCAATGGTGTTATTCACAGAAACAGTGAGAAAGATCAAAGGAAGGTAATTCTTGTGTATACAGGAATCTAATTGGTAGAATATAATGTATTACATTTAAATAGCTCATAGATGTAATCTGTTCTAACTTCCCTTCCTCCCACTCACTACAGACATGCCTCCTGCCATAGTCATCCAGTCTCAACTGGCACAATTCCACTAAAGGGAATTAATGATATAAATATTTTAAGGTTATAGCCGTGTAGATCAAAGAAGCAGAGAGAGAATGTTGTAGTCATGTACAGAAAAGCAGATTCGGAGCACGAGCTCCAGCTTTTCAGTTCCTGGCTCTAGGCTCTTGCCAAGGCCCTGATTCTTTTCCTTGGAGATAGACACCCAGACACCATCATTTCTTTTCTGTCTTTTCTTTTCTTTCTTTCTTTTTTTTTTTTTTTTGAGACAGAGTCTCATTTTGTCACCCTGGTAGAGTGCCTTGGTGTCATAGCTCACAGTAACCTGAGACTCCTGGGTTCAAATGATTCTCTTGCCTCAGCCTCCTGAGTAGTTGGGACTAAAGAGCCTGCCACAACACCGGCTATACTCTAGCTGGTTTCTAACTCTTTTTTTTTTGCTGTTGCAGTTTTTAGCCAGGGCCAGGTTTGAACCCGCCACCTCCAATATATGGGGCCAGCACCCTACTCCTTGAGCCACAGGTGCTGCCCTGGTCTCCAACTCTTAAGCTCAAGCAACCCATGGGCCCTCATCTCCCAGAGTCCTGGGATTACAGGCATGAGCCACTGCACCAGCCTGACACCATTATTTCTTTATAATCCCCCCCCCCTTGTTTTTTTAGAGACAGAGTTTCACTTTATTGCCCATGGTAGAGTGCTGTGGCATCACACAACTCACAGCAACCTCCAACTCCTGGGCTTGGGTGATTCCCTTGCCTCAGTCTCCAGTACAACGCGCCCCCCGCCCCCCGCCTTTTTGCTTAGGTTGCTTTCAGTTAGTTTCTGTTACTTACAACAACAGAAGAAAATGTAGCTAATACAGGAATGCAGAGTCACCCTGTGTCAACTATTTATTGGAACAACAACATTCATACTTATACCTCTTACTTTTTTCTCTTAAACACACTAGATGAATCTGGCATTCTTCAGACACACTGAAAGTGTTATCCCAGGAAGAGAACAGTTGCTGAGCAGTCATCAGGAGAAAGCTAGGGTAATCTCTGTCTGAAATTGCCCAATACTTAGACCTTAGGAACTCTGGAATCTGAGGCCTTTTGCTTATGACTTGATCAGCATCATTTTTTTCATATCCAGGTGTTACCTTTGAGCTCCTGCCCTTTGATACTTTGAGCAACATAGGATTATGTTATAATAGCTAATGCTGTAATCAGTACATAGAAGTCTTCAACTATTTTACATTGAATAAAAAAGAATATCCACAGGCTCGGCACTCATAGCTCAGTGGTTAGGGTGCTGGCACACAGCAGGTTCAAACCTGGCCCAGGCCTGCTAAACAATGACAGCCGCAACAAAAAAATAGCTGGGCATTGTGCTGGGCACCTGTGGTCCCAGCTACTTGGGAGGCTGAGGCAAGAGAATCACTTAGGTCCAAGAGTTAGAGGTTGCTGTGAGCTGTGATGCCATGGGTGATAAAGTGGGACTCTGTCTAAAAAAAAAAACAAAACAGTATCAACAAACATTTGTTCAGAACTTTAGAATTAATAATGCTCATATATATCCTTTGCCTAAAACCTGACAACCCTTTGAAATGGGTAAACTCCAAGAACCCTGGAGTCTGTAAATGTCGGACTAGGAAAAAAAATGTAAACATAAGCCTGTAATATCATAGCTACACCTGCCTCAAATTCTTGTAACTGAGTGATGTACATATCTAAATCAATTCATATTAAGCTGCTAAAACAGGATAAGACTTTCCATTATAACAGAGGTATTTGCTTTTTTTTTTTTTTTAGATAGAGATGTGGTCTCACTGTGTAGCCTATAGATCAGAGAGTGGCTGCAGATCATAAATCACTGCAGTCTGAACTCAGGCAATCCTCCTGCCTTAGCATCCTGCCTGTCTTAAAAATTTTGCAAGTGAGATCTAACAAAGCGATAGTTAGCGGCCTCTATCCATTCATAAACAATTCTCTGGAGTGCTTAATTATATTCCAGACACTGAGCTAGGCGATGAAGATGAATAAATAGCAATCCTGGTAATCTGTGGCCCAAACGCCGTTGCTTTGGAGAAGAGGTCTGAAAGTAAATGGCAGCTCCCATTTAGATTACATGATTGTGTAAGTGGGAAAAGCATCTCTCAGAGGGTGGTGGTGTACTTGGCCGACAAAAGAATAATCACTGTGTCTAGACCGACCTTCAACTGTATGCACTAATATGGTTATTAAAATACCGTTTTTTTTAAAGTGGAATATTTTCTTACGGTTAAATAGCCACAACCCTGAGCATCTCTTCTTGAATCCCCACCTCCTACTCAACAGCTAAGATTCTGCCCACAGAGTTCAGCCAGATTCCATTCTGGTAGATGGTCTTCCACGCCAGTCATTTTCAAAATCTCTGTCTCCCAGGAAGGCCACTGGCTACATCCAGGACTCAAGCGCAGCCCCACCCTCCCCACTCCCGCTCTGGCACCTCCTGCCGTCCCTGCACCTCCCGTGGCCACGCCCCCTCACCTCACAGATCCCGTCCCCGCCCAGCCCCGCCTCCTGCTTCTGGCACGCCCCGTGACCACGCCCCGTCCCGGCACTGCCTCGTGGCCACGCCTCCGGTACGCTGCTGGCTAAACCCAGCGGCCCGGACGCAAGAGATGAGGCGGGCTCACGCTTACAGTTTATACTGGTGGTTAAATACAGGTTATTTTGAATTATTATCCCTGACTAAACCTTCTTACGGTGTGAACTGCGTGAAGGCAGTACTATGTCTTGTGTATTTGTGAATTTGTTCACAACTGTTAACTGTGTGGTTCACACAGTCGGTCCAGTAAGCCACGTAAAAGGAAAGCGTTGGAGGGAGGGATAGAGAGGAGAAAAGAGCAAGGTGGGCAGTAAGTCCTGTGAAGGCCTCTATTTAAGTAATTGCTGCTTCCAGCACTTTGGAAGGACGAGGCGGGTGGACTGCTTGAGTTCAGGAGTTGGAGAATAGCCTGAGTAAGAGTGCAACCCCATCTCTACTAGAAATTGGGAGAAAAAAAACTAGCTGAACAACTAGTTTTCCTTTAACAGGAAATTAGGGCACAGGGCACAGAGCAAGCCTAGCTGGTTCATTCCCCAGGAGCTTCGGATGCTGTGGGGTGAGGAGGATAATTGAGTTACTTCTGATAGCACCCCAAAACTGTATTTAACTTAAACATATCTAAAGCAGGCGGCACCTGTGGCTCAAAAGGGTAGGGCGGCAGCCCCATATGCTGGAGGCGGTGGGTTCAAACCCAGACTTGGCAAAAAAAAAAAAAAAAAAAAAAAAAGAAGAA